CACACCGCACACCGCACACCGCACACCGCACACCGCACACCGCACACCGCACACCGCACACCCCACACCGCACACCGCACACCGCACACCGCACACCGCACACCGCACACCGCACACCGCACACCGCACACCGCACACCGCACACCGCACACCGCACACCGCACACCGCACACCGCACACCGCACACCGCACACCGCACACCGCACACCGCACACCGCACACCGCACGCCCGCACGCACGCCCGCACGCACGCCCGCACGCACGCCCGCACGCACGCCCGCACGCACGCACGCACGCACGCACGCACGCACGCACGCACGCACGCACGCACGCACGCACGCGCGCGCGCACACACACACACACACACAGACATATCCTTCAAAAGGTGTCTGAGCACTTCCGCGTTTGGTGAGAGGGTGCTTCTTGTCTCATTGAAGCGCTTCTGTTTTGCTCGGTCAGTTTTTTTTCGGAGCGGTCTTTTACAGGGGTCTTGTGAGGCGCCAAGCTGGCAGACTCAAACGCAAGTATCAAGGGTCTGTATGCTGCACAACACGTTGGCTGATGAAATTGTGTATGTTCATGGTCGCATCTTGTTTGTTTGGGGATAGAATTCGTTTTTTGCCTGGCTTGAAAGATCACAAGCAGGAACCAACTCTGCGGAGTAGGGTTGTGCCTTCTTGGCTGGAGAGGGGCCCAACAGAAAGTTGTGTCAGAAGAACTGCCCCAAGGCCCCGCGACAATCACCAGACGGGCTATCGCGAGTCCCTGGACGGGCCTCCGAACGCACAAAAAAAAACCATGCCAGCGCAGTGAGCGCAGCCAGGAAAAGCCAAGCCACCTGCAGGTGATGCTTAGGTTGATGTTTTTCACGGGGCCCGCTCTTGGCGTGGTCGGCTCCATTGGCTTCGTCGTGTCGGCTCCGTTGGCTCCTGGGGAAAGCTTCCCCTCTCGCCATCCTTGGCGGACTTTTGGACCCCCGCAACTAACTAACTGGGGGGTTTTGGCAATTTGGGGCTTGTTTTCTAGGGTTTGCTGACATACCGTGGATGGACGAAATCCTGCACCAAAGAAACCCTGGAATGATGATTCCCCTGTAGGTACCAACAAACCATGGTTTCAACCATGGTTTCAAAGTGGTGCGAACTGGATTTTCTCCATCCACAGGGAGTACTGCAAACCCTGGGTCTCACCCGAGCCTCGCTAGCGCCTTCCGTAGGCGGAGGAGATCACCCAGTCGCAGTTCCGCGAGGCGCTCCGATCCGAAAAACGGTTTGGCTCCGTTGTCCGGGTTCCGGTTTCGAGGGGACGGTTGGAAACCGGGCGTTCTGCTTCAGACCAGGGTTGTGGGATCAAGGGGTCAGAACCAACCACTTCTGTGATACAAGTTGGAATCTCCCCCGTTATGTGGTGGGTTAGTCTTTGGGAAGCCCTTATTGTGGCATCACAGAAGTGGTAATTTTCCACAGCCCTGCTTCAGACCACAGAGGCACGGCTGAGTTTCCGAAAACTCGAGATAGAATCTGTTTGGCGTGTTCTATTCATGTTCTTGTGTTGCCATTGTATCGGAGATTGGTGGCTTGCCATCCTTCAACAGGGTTCCCTATATGTTCCCTTTGGGTAGGTTCAAACATCACGTTCTGGCTCAGCTTAAAGTGAGGTTCCTTTTGGTGGGGCAATGTCTAAAGCGGAACTATAGGGAACCCTGTTCAAGGGTTGGCTCACCAGCCAGCAAATCAATGGATTTGCTTCTGTGTCTTCACGCCTTTTTGTTTGCCCCCCCAACTCCCATCCCCCTCACACCCCACTTGTATGATGGAGGACACTTGGGATCGATTTTGAAACCGCCTTCTTTTTTTGGTGTTTGTTTTGCATTGTGCCCTCACAAGCGTATTCTTTGAACAACTACCCCTAGGAAGAAATAATGAATCAAATGGGCACACAATGTTATTTCAGGAGGTTTGCGGAGAGGCCTGCTGTAGTTGGGGGAAGAGCAATCAGGCAACGGGTGAAGCTTGGTGGCCAAAATTTCCCTGCGGTTGTTCAGCTCGGGTTTGCGGAAGTAGCCAAGGTCTGCCGGGGAGAACCACAGCGAAGGGGTGTTGTCCGCAACAGCCCCCCTTGCCAAGTTGACGTGGGTGTTTTGGCCGGATCTTTTTTTTTTTTTCTTCTTTTTTTAAATGAATAATGATAATGATTATAATCATAATAATACTAATACTAATAACAATAATACCAATACTACTACTACTACTACTACTACTACTACTACTACTACTACTACTACTACTACTACTACTACTACTACTACTACTACTACTACTACTACTACTGCTACGACCACCACCACCACCACCACCACCACTACTACTAATAATAATAATAATAATAATAGTAATAATAATAATAATAGTAATAGTAATAGTAATAAACATAATACTAATAATAATACTAATATATATATATATATATTTCGAACTCGACCTTTGCTTTTTTGGATCCCAGGCTTCGGGCGAGGCGACCCGGGCCCAGGGCGCCGATTCCCTCGCCCAAAAGTCGTGGCGATTGGAAGGAGCTCGGGCTGCTAGAAGCCCATCGAAGCCAGCTGTGGCTGATCTCCTTAGGCTCGCTTCTCGACTCGTGGGACCTGGGGGACCTGGGGGACCTGGGGGACCTGGGGGACCTGGGGACTTGGGTTTCGGGCTTCGTTTTGGAGGGTGAAACGCAGGAGCCGGCATGCACGTGTGGAGAGGTGCCACGTGAGATGTTGCAACTTGAACTTTTTTGTGGGAGAATGCGGTAAATCCACATCAAAGAGGGTTTCAACACAATTAGGGGGTCCCTGGAATCCCGCCAACACCTTGAGCCATTTGTGGTCAGACTGGCTTGGGATTCGGCCAGCGCTTTAGTTGCAAGCGACCCCAATTGCCTCAGGCTGCTTGTTGCCCGAGACAGTGGGGAGGGTTCGAATGAACCTTCCATGGGATATGGGTCCTGCTGTCCTGCCAAAACGCCGCATGAGGAGATGTGAGCCGGGGTAGAATGTCCTGGGTGGCTTATGGTCATGCGATGAAGAAAGTCAGTACCACAGTTGCACAAAAGCTGGAGCCAGGCAAAGCACCAAGATAAATATTGTTCCTGACTCTTTTAATATTTGCGGTAAATGAGTTACTAGTAGTATACTCCTAAAAACCTGACTCAAAATGGGTTTTAACGTACCCGGTTACCCATTCTAATGATTGAGGCCCTTAGAGAGAAACACATTTCTCCATGGCCAGGAGTGTGCCATGCCTTGCTGGTCTTTCGCATCAACCGGGCCGGGCGCTTGGGCGCTTGGGCGCTTGGGCACTTGGGCGCTTGGGCCCAATTGGCCGGGCGAACGGATCGCCTGCAAAGCCTGCAAAGCCCGACGCTGGCTGCATGTTCAGCAGATGTCTACCCTTCGACCTCGGAGAAAATGGAGGCAACCCTCAACCCTCGTTGAGGGAGGGTAGAACAATCGATGTCCATCTTTGAAAGGGTTCCCCTTTTTGATGTCGAGACTCCACCTGGTTTCAGTTTGGAGCAGCTTTCAGGCTATTTTGAGTCTTCTCTACAAGAAACAGCGCTGAACCAACCGCCATCCTCAGGACCCAGCCAAAATGGTCAACAAGAAGCGAGTAGAGGGAACATCTAAAACTTGGGCTTGTCAAAGGGTTGCCAGGGCATACCGGTTGACAGCTTCCCAGCATCCGGATGTTGGGGATCAATCCTGTACGGGTTTGCGATGCATCTTACATGTTCAACACTTCCTCATGCGACAAAACCGTACTCTGAACAGGAATCCTGCACAAGTTCCAGAGAAAATCCTATGATCATGGTTGAACTTGGCCAGACTTTTGGGAACAACGGACTTTGCCCCCTACGCAGTCATCCGCCATGGAACTCTCCTTCTGAAATTTGGCAGCTGGAGCATTCTTGGCGATTCGCGCTTTGCTGAGAAGCTATCAGGACAGTGTTCGGGTGAACACGGATGGGGCTGAGAACTTTCAAGGTTGTCCACGCGACTGGGAACAAGGTTCGTCCGTGTGGAACCTAGTGGTGATGCCAACTTTCACCAGGGTCCATAATTTGGTTGAGCCGCCAGCTAGATTCTGTGCGCTGGTTGGGCAATTCTTGCAAGTCTCATAGCTTCAAACTGCCTTTCATGGGCGGTTTGAGTCGATGGTCTGGGGAATTGAACTTTTTTGCTCTTGAGGAAAAGTCGAAGACTACCCCGTACCCTCCAAAACCACCAAACCAAATCACGAACTGGAGTGGAGGCTAATATGAAGTTTCGGAATGAGAAACATGCTGGAAGATCTTGACTCGCACTTGGAAAGCGGCATGGTTTCCACGAATTCAGAGTGCGTGTCCCTATTGGGTTCAAGGGTTTTGCAGGAAGCTGCTCACACATACTGAACAAGTTAATGAATCAGACATGCATCTCGGCTGGTGCAAAGCGGGTTCTGTCCATCCGCAGTACCCCTCCAAATACGTGTTTCAGGTTAGTTCCTTCTTTCCCCACAGGGGCCATGTGGAGGCACGTCAAGACCCGGTCCACGGGTAACTTTTGTTTATGGCGTTGAATTCAAATTGTGGAGCTTTTGGTGTATTTTTTTGCAGGGGTGTTTTTTTCCAACAACAAATGTATGTGTTCCCATTTATTCATAGCCATCTGGGTGTGTATTTGTTGAGGCTCGGCACCCTTTCCAGGTCTGAAGGAAAGTGGGCTGCCCGTAGCCGCGCGGTACCCCTTTGACAGAGATTCACGCCTATAGTTCCTCCGGCAATTGCATCTCTTTCGCTTAAACCAAATCTGGTTCCCATAGCTGGTAATTCTTTTTGCATTACTACAACATATGCATCATGTTGAGGCCAGTCCCCCCCCCAAAAAAAAAGGAAAGAAAGAAAGAAAGAAAGAAAGAAAGAAAAGAAAGAAAGAAAGAAAGAAAGAAAGAAAGAAAGAAAGAAAGAAAGAAAGACAGAGCAAAAAGAAAAAGGAAAACACAACAACAACAAGACACAAGCACCTTGCATCCTGTTCCGTGTCTCCGGATGTGCACGTCAATGTCTTCGAGTTCGATTTCGTGCCTCGCGCACCGCGCATCGAGGCCATGGAGCGCTTCTGGGAGGGCACCGGCTTGCTGCACCAGGCGTGGGGGGTTCATCCGGGCTTTTTCGTTTTCTGGAACCTCATGGAACCAGCAGCATGTGGAGTTTTAATGGGGTTTCCATCGGTAAACTGAGGAACTTTAGAAGGACAATAGGGACCCCTGATGAAGGGTATGGCTGGATTCGGCGCATTGAGCCCGAAGGGTCCAGAGGACCCTTTCCCCGATGGGCTGATTCCATTGATAAGCTATGCATTCTAATTCTGACATCCATGTGGCACCCCTCAGAAACCTGTCGCCACACATTCCCGCCTATTTTTTGTTGACTGAGAGATGGACAGCGCTTCCCACTCATTCATGACCCGCACCTTGTGAAAAAGCTTTGTTCTGTACATCCAAGCAACCAAAAGAGGGTTCCCCCAATAAAGCTAACTTTGAGACAACCCACCAACAGAGGCTCCCCCAATCACTTTTCCATTTATCAACCGGCCGTGGGTTTCCCAAGAACACGGCGACCCCCCCGCCCGCATTTCTTCCGAGCAGACCCCTCCGACCCCTCCGCTCGCCAGATGCGCGGGGAGTGGTTCGACGCGGTGAGCTGCTGCGTGACCTTCTCCAGGGGCTCACGGGGCCCCAGGCCGGCGGTTGGGCGGGGCTTGGGGCGGGGCGGGGGGGGCTTGGGGGCGGTTGGGCGGTGGAGCTCGCCGTTTTTTTTCAGCTCCAGGGAAAGCCGCCCCGCAAGCGGGTCTGTCAAGGAACATAGGGAACGCCGCCCCCACGAAAAGAAATAAAAAGGGCGGAGTGTCCCCTTGGCCTCCGCTAAAGCCACTCATTTCCTCTTTTTTTTTTTGGGGGGGGGGTTGGCCCGGGGCTGGGTCGATTCTGTTGCTAATCGACAAGGGCTCTCCTATTTTTAGACATGCCCTCATTTTTCTTCTGGGTGATATCTTTTCCATTCTATGCAAGCCTTGATCTTTTCATGTTTTGCGATGCCCAAACTTCGCGACCTCTTCTTCCGTGAGTCTGGGAGGTATCTTTGTTTCTGGTGCGTGTGTATCCTCTTCATGCCACCCTCGAGTCCTCCTGAGCAAGCTTTTGGCTCGACATCTATGTTTGGATCGACATAATTTTCTCCCCCTAGCTGTCTTTTTGGCGCATGAGCCGGCAACACCGGAGTGGGGCCATGGCCAGCACTGAGTTCCCCAGGGCATGTGCAGGTACGAGGATACAATGAGATTCCGGCACTGCATCGTACGTCGGCTGCCTCAGCGACCGCGCAACAGACCTCAGCTGCGGGCCACCTTTGCGATCGCTCGCGCCTTCCTTTTTCTTCCGGGCATGTAGGTGTTCTTGTCCGTTTTCCTGCCTTCTCAAGGACACAGGAGCGCAACGGGGTTGTGGGATCAAGGGTTTATCCAACCACTTCTCTGATACAAGTTGGAATCTCCCCCTTTCTGTGGGGTTAGTCTTTGGGAAGCCCGTCTTGTACGGAAGTGGGTTCCATTTCCCAACCCTGGCGCGGAAGATCGAGAGTTCCCAGCGGCGCCGCGGATCTGGATCTGACTTCGGGGCATTCCGCGGCGTCCGTTTCAACTTTTCGGTTGGTAGAGTTCCTCGGCTTGGCGTGAAGGGGGAAGAGTGCGTTCACTCTTCCAGTTTTGATATAGTCGTTCCAATCCACGGGTAATTTGTAGCTTTCTTTCCAATCTTCCAGTGCAGTATTGTGGGACGGGGGGTGCGCCTTCTGAGCTGGTGATTCTTGAGTTGCAGTCCAGAGTGTCATTTTCTTGTGAAGTTGCGTCACTAGTAGCCCATGGTCTATTTGGGAGGAACATGAGGTATGCACAAAGTTTGCCACGAGAGCCAGGGGGACTCTATCTCTCTCTCTCTCTCTCTCTCTCTCCCTCTCTCTCTCTCTCTCTCTCCCTCTCTCTCTCTCTCTCCCTAATTTGCCATGTTCATAGAGAGCACTCCGCAAGTTTTGGCCAGGCTTGTTTCCCCACGCTTCAGACCTCCCTTGGGCCTTTCTTCCGCGGCTTTCCGTGGCCTTTCGGAGTGATCGATTGGGCCGAGTCCCGAGGTCTCATGAGCCTCTGCCACGGCAGCGCGCTGGAGGAGATCGGAGGCGCGCGCTTTTTCGCTTTCGCTGGGCCCCAGGATCCTTGCGCTCTCAGTGGGGAATGAGACATGGAATGAGCCTAGGGATTCTTGAACAAAGGGAAACAACCAGTTGGATGGCTTATAAGTTTGCATGCCATTTCTCATTCCCTGTCTATCGCACCAGTCCCTTGAATTGTGGAGCAGACTACTTCGCGAAACAGCCGTTCGTGGAGCTTTGTCCGGCATTCGGCAAAGTCGAGAAATTGGCTTTGCTTTGGCCAACAGGACTGGCCCACATGGCCCTAGAATCTTGTGATGCACACACCAGTTTTGCCCCCGTGATTTTTTTGTGCTGCGGGGGGCAATGTTCCCTTTCATAGAATATGGAGAAGTGCCCATTTGGAAGGGCCCTTCTTGTGACTCTTGTGACTTTAACTTCAGATTGGAACCAGTCCAAGCACACACACACAAGCACCAACAGAACTTGGGTACCTCTGCCTGCGGCCGGGAAAGCCATATGGGTAGGGGTCAAAATTAACCCACCAGGGGACCGCAGGTTTAGTCCATGTTTCCATTTACCAGGGTTCCATTTTGGGTATCGATTTTTGACCCACAGCCATATATTGTCATGGGCCTTTCAAAAACCAAACCCCATGTTTGATACGTAACGTTTGCCTGGGGAGCGACCGACGACCACTCATAGTCCCTTAGCGTTTGCAGAATCCCACGCTCCAATTGGGCAGTGTCCGAAATTATAATGGGCTTAGACCAAAAAGAAAATGATACTTCGGGGTCTCTAAGACTTGCGGCCTACAAGAGGCGCCTTTGCTCAGGCCGCAATTACCTCCTGCCTCCTCCGCTTTTTTTAGGTGCCGACATGTGTGACTTGGGGTAAGCCCAAGATTTGGCAGAGATAGCAACCAGGTACAGTGGCAGCCGCATGACCTTTAGCGCACCTATGCCACTGCAGTGCTTTTGCCGCCATTCTTGATATGGTTTGTTTGCGAGCACACTTGCATGTGCAGCAGAGTTTTTTGGCCGAGTAGGGCTCAAGCAGGGTTCGGCCTTGGCTTAGCCGGTTGTCCTCCCTTTTGGGTGGGGCTTGAATCTCGCTTCCACTATCTGGCTTAAGGATGATAGCGTGGCAGATATGTAAATCGTTGTATATTTGTTATGACCATCTGAGAAGAGCCAACTGTCAATGGGTTTGGGTCGCTGCTCAATAGGGTTGTTGGTTGCACATTTGCACTTCGCGCACCAGCGAGTGCTTCTTCAACCCGGAATCTCAAGCGCGCACACACGCGGACTCGGACGCGCACACGCACCAACACGCCTGCGCCGACTGCTTCTTTTTTTTTTGGGGGGGGGGAGGAGGAGGGGTGGTTAGAGGTTCCATGAAAAGGCATTTCCTTCCAAAAGCCCACTGCCTGGCCGGTAAGATCACCGGTTGCCATTCGACAGGCGAGGAGGCGGACTTTTGCGAGACCATCGTGGGGGCGCCAAAAGGGGCAGATGGGCAGAGCTTGGGGTTGCTCATTGAAGCAAAGAGAAGGTGGAGCACAACAAGCATATAGTCAAAACTGATTTATCTTAGATTCGATACATACATGTATATGTATATAAAAAGGTTGACTACATACAGTGGATGGAATGACTTCATTTCGCACCACTTTGAAACCATGGTTGAAACCATAACGTTTGCTGGCGCGAATCGAATTCCAGGGTGCCTGAACGGTGGTGCAGGATTTTGCGCATCCGGAGTATGCAACAGAATCTGAAGGTATCATTTTTGGTGTATGGAGTGCTCGAAGTGTGCGGAAGAGGGGGGCCACAAGACGCTTAAATGCAGATGGCAAGTGACCGTGTGTCATGTAGGGGCAGGGTCGACCAGATTTGAGCAACTGACCGTGAATGTGTGTGTGTGTGGGCGCCATTTTTGAGGGTGCCCTTATTTTACAGGGACACCACGGGAACATCTATCCATTTTGAGGCCCGCATTCCATTTTTAGCGTGTGAGAACAGGCAAGGCTGTGCGGCACATGAAGAGAACGGGCAAGGGAAGTGCTGCAGTATTGGCAGGCTCTGGTTTGTGTCGTAGGTGGTAGTTCCCTTTGGCTGGTTTCCTACAGCTATACCTTCCATGCAGAAGCGGCTCAAGGAGATGTCGTTTTGTGGTTTCGCCGGGGCGCACAAAACGGCCAGGCCTTTTTGTTGGCCCAAACGGCCCAAGCCGGTGGTGTTTGATGGCTTTTCCGGGCTTGGCCGAGGCGGGGGGATAGTCGGGGGGATGGGGCCGAGGACCGCATGGGCCTGGACTCTGGCACCCTGGGGCATCTCAAGGACTGCCAGCAGGCAGGGGGAAGAGGGGAAGGGGGGGGGGGGGGACGGAGGTAGATACAGGAGAGAGACGCTGACAGACTGGTCCACAGTGAAGGGTTTTGGACAAGTCGGCGATTTTCCCGTTTTGGCCTGGCCGCAGAAGCACGAGTTGGTCTAGGGAACTTTGCAGAACACTCCGATGGCGCGGGGCGGGCGGGCAGGGTTTTCCTTCCGTTTTAATTGTGACGCCAATGCACAAGAGGGAGGGACTAACTGCATTGGCATTGAAAGGAGTGTAGGTCATGATCACACACACACACGCACACGCGACTGCGGGCTCCAAGTAAGAGTTTTGGCGATCCCCCATCGATGGATGCATTGGGATCCCTTTTTGAGAGGCGCCCTGCTCCGAGGTTTACGGGTGAGAGGGCTAAACGGCAATTGGCCTGAGGCAGGCCCTTGCTTGCCCATGAGTCAAGAAACGTATACAACCACAAAGAAGGAACGCACGGCGACTCGGGCTGAGGCTGTTTAGAAAGTCCACCTGGCGGACATCGCTGGCTGTGCATACTTGTTCCACCGACCTTTGCAACCCGTTCCCAGCCTTGCTTTTGCTTTTAAGCTTCGCTTGGAGGTCTACAAGTTCAATCGGGTCGAGGTCTTGCTGCACATGATCCAGCGCCTCGGACTTTGGTCGAAGCAAGTGGGGTGGATCACTTCCGTAGATCCCGGGCCCACAGATCCAGAGAAGCGTCGGCTCGGTGCGCTGCGCCTCACTCAGATGTGGTGCACGTCTCAGATTTGGAGCACTGGGACCCCCGAAATGGGGCTCCCTTTGGTTAGCTGAAACGGGTACCCTCACAAAACTTGACACGCCCATATGTGGCTCTTATATTTTTTCTGTTGGCTATTCTGACAGGCAAAAAAAGAAACCTGGGTTTGCCTCTAGCGGTCTGATGGGACCGGAAAGCAACCGGAAAAGGAGAGGCAAGTCTGCGGCTTACATCGCAAGGGGAAATCCCTCACAAACACCAACAACCTTAAGATGTGCGTGCCCAAAACCGCTGTTGGCGATTTGGTATGCTACCTGGCTTAATTGGAATCAAAGGCAGGCTCCATAACCAGCACGGTAGAGCCAAACGTCGCTGCTCATGTGCCGCTCAGAAGAGATGGCTTGCCACGTGGCGCGGGCCGGATGCGCTCAGGTCGCTGATCACCCAGAACTTGGAGAACGGAGTGCTGACGCTTGCCTCCGCAGCGATGGATTCTTCTGAAACAGGGCTCCTTGAAAAATAGATGTTGCAACCAATTGAAACATGGTTTTTCAACACCAAAATAAAGGGACATCACCATTTGCAAGGCAATGCTCAGGTGTATAATGCAAGGACCCCTCTGAAATGGGACGGCCCCTATGAATCAACCAGGAGCGGTTTAATCCTGGGTCAACATTAGTGGCTTTTGGACCTCCCTGCCAGAAGGGCGACTTGCACATGAAGGCCTACTCCCCCTCCATTTGTGATTTCTTGCGGGCCGGGTGCTCCGGAAAGGGTTGGGTGGTTGGGGCAGTGTGTTCCTTTTTTTGTTTGTTTCTTTTTGGTGGTTTGGCTGTTTTGGTTCATCGGCTTGTAACAGCAGCGTTTAATTTCCTCAAAACACAAACTCTGCGCAATGAACAGGTCTGAACCATGCTTACCTGGCTTCAAGGAGATGTACCATGACCATCTCCTGCAGCATGCACGGCCAAATTCGTAGGCTACACGTCTCTGGCTTTGAATCCCCAAGCGCAAAACTTCCCCTCGGACAAGAAAGGGATTCCGGTCGTGGCCCTTGCGTGGGACTAGCCCGTTGGCCTTGCTCTTGGGATGCTCGAAAGGGCGTGACAAAAGGTTCCAACAATCATTCACCTGGAAAGCAGCAGTAGTTTGTGTTAGATCCAAAGGAACACCCATCATTTTGCAGGTCCAGTTCCTCATTTCCTCCGCGTCCCAGGAAGGTGCAGCCGCCCATCCTGTCGCGGGTGTACCAGACGCTGTCCCGGGGCTTCGTGAACCTTCTGAACGCCAAGAAGATCGCGGACACCCGGCGCGGTCCCGTCGTCCCCGGGGTTGGTTCGCGTTTGGGCACGGAATTGGGCGCTGGCGCAAACGGGGCGAGCGACTTTTTGGGGAGTTAGGAAGCTAGCCAGTGATGATGGACACTTAGGGTCCTTGTGGGCTATCGGGTTTGAGTGTTTGAGACTCTCAGTGTCCCTGGCAAGAAGCGGCGAGATGGTCCATTTCTGATCGTGATGAATTGCCTCCCCACGGGCAACCCTGATCCTTCGGGTTTGCTTTGTGGGTGGCCCTTTGGGAGCCTTGTCGGCACCAGGCAGTTTGGGCTTTCGCGTTTCATGTGGTTTTCTCGGACAAAAAGACCCACGGGAAGGCCTCAGCCGCTGGAACGAGTCTGCCACCCATCAAACGGTTGGCGTCCTTTTGGTTTTGAAACCAATCCACAGGGCTTCCCCCCAACAAAAGACAGCAACAGCTTTTCCTCTCTCAGGAGTCAAAGAGAATCAGTGAGGATTTCGTTCAAAGCCCCTGCGGCCGCCAGAGCGCAGGTTCCCTTTTCCCTTCGCGCAGCTCATCAGTGGGCTGCTGCACCTTGCAAGCTCCGGGGGGGAAGTGTGCAGTGCCTCGCCGTGTTGTTCCCTTGGATTGACTTGGTACCGGTCTGGGTGGAGCACATCAGGTAAGTGAAGCCATTGATGGTGAGAGTGAACAAATGCGGGAGTATGGAATGTGCTTTTTGGCGGACTCTGCTGTTTGACACCATGTCGTGCACAACAGGCTTGGGCCATTTTGGGCCCCTATAGCCAATGTCAGAATCAGACAAACACTGACGAAAACAATGCACAACTCAGAAAGCGGGGCAGCTTGATCTGGCTTGAGCGGTAAAATGCTACACTTTAAATGCACACCTTGAGGGCGCTCACGAATTCATCATGATATCAGCAAATCCGCAAATCTTGATATTGCGCATCTCTGAGTTGGTAGGATGTCCAAAGCGCTGGCTCGCAGAGAAAGGGAAGCAGCATGAAACCGACCCTTTGGAGGGATGGACAGTGGGGGGGTTTCCCCCTGAAGGGCGGGAGCCCGTCTCGAATGGGCTCCTGGGTCAACGTGATTAGAGCTTCTCTGACGTCCAAGGTGTGGTTGAGAGCGAGGGTTGCTTTGTGTCTAGGTCCAAATTTGATACCTCGGACATGTTCGCTGTTCAAAGGTTCCTATGTTGTAGCGAGCTCACCTAAAGCTATAACGAGCTCACCATGACAAAGGTCCTTTACCTGCGATCCCTGAATTCAGCTTTTGGAATGATATAACAATTTGCAGAAAGGTTGGTGTCTCATTGAGGTGAGTTTGGCCAGGTTCAGCGAAGACCGAAGGACAAGTTCGTTTGGTTCTGGAGGTTCCGAGATAGAATGCACCTTGCGGGCAGATGCGGGTTCCGGCGGACAATGAAAGGTTGCAAAAAGCTAGTGCCTCACCGGCATGCCGGATTGGCCCTACGAATCCAAGGGCCACCTGGAATGAAGGGGTTATTCAGATCTCTCTCGTGCATCAAGGCGTAGTCAGAAAGTTATGGGTGGGTTTTGGCTGGAGGTATGTTCAACCGTGCAAGACACTGGCAAGTGTCAAGCCCAAGGACCCCTCAAACTCAACCGGGCTATGTTCGAGCCCACTGGCCGCCAAGGATTCTGCACGTGGCGGCGCCCCCAGTTCGCTGAAAAGTGAGGGCAGGCAGGTCGTGGGGTCGGGGACTTGGAACTAGGAATGGCTTCGCTGAATCAGAGGCAACAGGACGTTGCAGGGATGGCTTGAGCAGAATGTTCGGTCAGCCGCTCCCAGGTGATCCTTCCGATCCTCATCTCTGCCACAGTTTCAGAGGCCCGGGCCCCCGGGAGCCGACCTTCGAAGCCGCGACCGCAACCCTGACGCTTTCCGGCGGCTCGGCTTCTCGGATCTCGGGATCTCGGGATCTCGGGATCTGGGGATCCGGAGAAACGCCGCGCCCGAGGTGTGGCTGGCCTCCACCCTGACCTTCCTCCCCATTTTTTCCATGCCGGGCTCCCAGGTCTTCACTCCCACGGCTTCGGGAGAGGGGAAGAGGGGCAGGGGGCACTGGGTGTGCGGAGAAGTCCACCGCAGGGAATCCCGTTGCCTGCGGAGAGCGATCCATCGGCCTTCGGAAACGCGCCCGCGATGCAAGTGGGTCCTTTGTTTGGGGATCCCAACAAAGTCCTTGTCTCACAGAGATGAGGCAAGCCAGCGCGGTTTGGAAGGATTTTCTCACTCCCTCAGGTTCTGGATCATTTTCACAGAACGCCCGTGCTGCCCCTTTGTCCCCTTTTTGTGGAGGGTTTTTTCTTTGAAACCAAGCATATATCAAAAGAAGAGTGCCTTTTTGCCTCATGGCTATTGGGGGTCTGGGTTTCACAACGCAGTTTCTTGGGCCAATCCTGCTTTGGGAGAACAGTACGGGGACAGGCTCCACACACAGCAAAAGGGCTCGATGTTCGGACATGTGTGTTTTTCTCTTTTCCGGGATCCCTTTTGGTATGGTTTGAAAGCGCGAAACCGACAGGAAAAAAGGAGCAACAAGCAACAAGCCTCCTGAAGGGTGACCAATTTTTATCTGGCGGGGAACGAGCCATATCATGTTCGCATCATGCGCCTTACCCGTGCATTTCCGCGCACAAAAAACGACCTTCCTCCGTTTTGGAGGGTTCTAGCTTCTACATGCATCCTCATTTCTCCCCAATCAGGGCTGGGTCTGACTGGGTGGGTCTGATTGGGGTGGGGGGAAAATTGTGAATCACAAAGGCTGCCGGCGCAGGTGTTGCCTCAACTACATTGGGGTTGAGCTCGAGAATCCCTTCGGGCGCGATGCCAACGACCTGCCCTTGAAGCACTTCCAGGCGATGCACCGATGGCACATGGCGCTTTCTGGGGTTTTCCATGGTAGAAGATTGGGTTCTGTGCCATTTTAAGAGGATCGCCTAAGTGAGAATCTCGTTGGGATGGGAATCCCACCTTTGGCATCAGGGCACTTTGGCGGAACCACGATAGGGTGTCAGGGGCTCGAAGCCTACTTCTGGCGCCTCTGGGATGTGAAGAGTCAATCTTGTTTGCTGGTTGTGTACAGGGTCCTTTGGTTGTGTAGGTCTCTGGGGGGCACGCTTTTCGAGCAAGAGATTTGGAGCACCAGAGGCATACAAAGAAAGCGCAGACTGAAGGACGCAAGGAAGAGGGCAATGTGCAGGGCAATGAAGCTCCACTAGGAAGACGCATTCCGGATAGCATGTAATGATATCCCCTTGCATGTGGAAGGCGTTTCACGTAACAGGTATCCACTGACGGTTTCATTTCGGGCTTTTCCGAATTCTGATGCTTGCAAACGTAGCATGTCCAAAGACAGCCAATGACATATACGCTTACATTGACCTCTCTCTCTCTCTCTCGCTCTCTCCACACAAAGGCATAAACCTGAACCCCAGTGTCAGGGGAGAGCTCGCAAGGGGGCCCAGCTGTGTCCCGTGGCCGTTTCGGCTCGCAGTTTGCGGAGCAAGCGGCAAGGTCGCAGAACCGCTGGACTCATGCCTCGCAAACTCAGGTGCCAAGACCTGAAGACCAACACCGAGACCGAACAGCCACATCCCACCTGCAAACAATTCCCCAGTCTCACACGCTGATGAGCTGGGGTTCAAAAAACCACACCGCCTCGGGCTTTGTGTGCCCCAGCCTTTGTCAGAGATCACAGGGCCCGCTCAAGGGCACTGAAGAAGCGGGGCATGAGAGCGCCCATGCACTTTTTGGGTTTGCCCAGGAATCGCACGAGAATTTGTTGCCGATTTACACGTGTTAGCTTTGGGTGCCATGGCGGAGTGTCCCATCTGCCTGGGCAACGTGGAGGACTGGCAGAGCGGGGCAGGGAGTCGGGGGGGTCGCGGTACTCCGGATGTCCCATGCTCAGGATCCATAGACCACGCGCGCTTGCCCTATCTTTCCTCCTTCTTGTGCTATTTTTTTGGGTGCGTCCAGGGAGCCGCCCCCTTCGTTTCTTCCCCACGCCAACCCGGGAATCTCCTGTGGGTGTTTTAAGGGGAGCCACGGAAAGCCAGCCGTTGGTCGCCGACTGAAGCCCGAAGCCTGAAACCTAAGACCAGGATGCCTGTGTGGCACCCTGCAACCACAGCTTCTGTCGCCCCGCGGCCGCAGAAACCCGGGAAGAAGGGCATGGCTGTTGTCAAAACCCATGGGATGGCATTTTGGGTAGGTGCTCCATCCCCATTTTAGTCGGGATTTTAGTGGGATTGGATGTTCACTGGGGGTACGTGATGTTGACCCATGGCCAAATGAGTTTGGATTCAGGGCGCCCGGAGATGGGTGGGACATGGAGTGCTCGTGAAGTTCCGGAGTAGTTCGCCCTCGTGCCACATGTTTTTTGGAGCAGGCAGCTCAAAAGCACCCCGACGATACCACAAAACGTCCCTTGCACTCGAGAGGCGGGTCATTCCCCCCCTTGAATTGACCAGAACAGGCACACCAATAGGTGTCCTTTTCAGGTCAGTTGGTTGAACATTGATGGCACTGTTTTCACTTTTCTTGCCATTCAGTTGTCTATCCAAGTTCTTTGCAAGATCTTCCACCAGTCTTTCTATCAAATTTCATTCGCCAATATCAACTTCACCAGAATGACTCCTCTAGGCCCGGTCCGGCTAGAAACCCTCCAACCTCAAATCTGCCCCCTCCCCCTCAAAGTGGTTCCATCGGATTTCTTCAAGGCCTTCTCTTTTCCAATTGTTTGTGATCGCCAGGAAAGCTTTCGACTTAAACCCGAAGCTTCCATTGGAATCGGGAGGGTGTCGACTAGGAGTCTAGGAGAAGGGTGGTTTGAAGGGGCCCTTCGGATCCGGATGGCACATGCGGCCTACATCTTCTAGAGGGTTGCGAGGTCCAAAACCAGATGTCACCAGGGAATGTTTTTTAGCCCCGGCCAGCTCTGGTTTGGGAAGGACACTTGCGTCGCATTGCTCTTTTGAGAGCTGCCCATCTGGGATCGATTGCGGATGGGGCCTATGGTGTCCCTTTGCTTCACAATTTGCCCAACATGTCTGTGGGTGTCAAAATGTGGGACCCCCAAAAAGCCGACATGTGGGACCCCCAAAAACCAAAATGTGGGACCCCCAAAATGTGGGACCCCCAAAATGTGGGACCCCCAAAATGTGGGACCCCCAAAATGTGGGACCCTCAAAATGTGGGACCCCCAAAATGTGGGACCCCCCAAAATGTGGGACCCCCAAAATGTGGGACCCCCAAAACGCTGGCTTTCCTTTACGTTTCCTCCTTTTTTACCATGCCGACATCGGGGGTTCTAGCTGAGGCCAGTGCATCGTGCAGGTCCTGGTGCGGCACCCGCCCGAGTGGGCCGGCAGCTGCCCGCTCTGCCGGACCCACATCAGCCGCGAGCTGAGGTCTGTGACGCCTATTCGGGGGTAGCCGTTATAAGTTCTAGGTCCCCCAGCTAGGTGCCAACTTTTGCCCTTTCTTTTTTGGTTGGGAGGGTTCCCCTACCAAAATGGACTACAGAAAAAAGTTGGTACCCTTGTTCGAACCTCACTGGAGGACCTAGTAAAGTTAAAGGCTGGTCTAAGGCAGGGTGTCCGAGCCATTTCCTTTTTTGGAACCTCCCAAAGTGGCGATCGTTTCAAGGGAAGCCGCCTGTCGATTGATCAACTTTTGGGGAAATCAAAAGGTGACCCCTGCAAAGGGAGACCAAAGGGAAAGCCACAATTGTAGCAGCCCCTTGCAGCTTGGAATTCAAGGGACCTACGAGGTGACATAGGAAGCGGGTGAGAGGTCTTTCTGCGTTGAGAGGTTGGATTCATGTCCACCAATGCGACTTTTGAGGTGGGGAACCCCCATCACAAGTCACAGATTCGGGCATCCCCTCTTTCTTTTGGGCAACATAGGCGACCTCAAACGCCCGGCCTTTTGCTGGCTGTTTGAACCAAGCGCCCTCCAAGCGAGGTGTGTACAACCTGCGCAGCGGCGGGGAGGTCTTGGTGCAGCCGGAGGCGTGGGATATGGCCATGGGTCAAAAGCCCGGTTAGCCCCAGTGAACAGTCCAATCCAGCCACTAAAATCCCGACTAAAATGGGTGGGGCACCTACCCCATCCTGGGATCCCATTGGTTTTGACCCACAGCCATACGAGTGTGTGTGTGTGTGTGTGTGTTTTCCGGGGCGCGGCACCCTTACTTTGAAAGGGCACGTAGGGAAACACCGCCGAACTTCGAGAGGTCCCAGGCGCGTTTTTCTGAGACTCGGAATTTGGAGTCAGGCACAAGGCCTTTGCTTGCCACTTCCTTTTGACCGGGGGAGCGGTGTTGGGGTGGGGCGGGGAATCAGAATTGGCTTCCCCAATGAGATTTTTGGGGGTTCCGGGTTAGTTTGGCAAATGCATGTTTGGAGAAGACATATTTTGCATAAGTGCAGAAGCAGTTGGCAACATCTACGTATGACAAATTTGCCCACACCCCTCCAAATGCGTCCAGCGTTGGGGAAATATGACCTACATGGATTGTGTGGTTGCATGATGCACAGCTCTCCCCGGGCGGCATGTTCAACCTGGGAGGTGCTGAGCCTGTGGGGCACCGTCTTTGTGCAGCACTGCAAGCTAGGCGCGAATTGGTTGGTGAGCCGTGAGCCCGGGACCGGCCGGGACCGGCCGGGACCGGCCGGGTCCTTGCGAAGTGAAAATTGCCATGGACGGAGATCTTCGGTGGTGAGTGTCCTGGCTTTTTTGTTGTTGTTGCCAGTTTCAGGCGAATTGAATCTCTGGGGTTTGATCTTGGAATTCGGAAGTTCGAACTTCTTTTGGTCCTGTGTTCAAGCAAACCTAAAGTGGGCTCAAGGTTCAGTTTTGTGACTGGGCTGTTTGTGCCACACTGTGGTGTGTCTGATCTTGAGGGTACCGAAGGGACACCAAGAACTGACGACCGGAGTAAGCTAGCGTCTTCCTCTAAGATTCTGAGTTTCTTCCAGCTTCGCTGGCTATCCGATGTTTGTTGGCATGCGATTTGGCGGACCCGTGCGACCGAATTTGGGACGGGACAGCAGTTGTTTGCAACATGGCAAGTCTCGGTGCCGCCTTTGGAAAGCAGGCCCCCCTCTCCATTCTTTGCTCGTCGTCAAAGGATGGATGCTGTTTCATTGTTGCAGATTCCCGTTTTAATCTTGCAACAGCGGCAAGCACGTGCACTTCCACGCTTCTTTTCTGAACGGTTTCCCTTGCTCGCCAGGGCTGGCCAGCTACCACTTCGAGTCTCCCGAGGAGCGGTTTGGTAGGACATGGAACATGATTGACACCCGCGTGTAGGGGAAGCTTCTGGAGAACCTTTCTTTCTTGAAACTCTAAGGCCTGCCGCCCTGTGCCTCCGACCCCTGATGCTCTCTCACAACGTCCAATGCCCGCTGTTCCTGCTTAATTTTCTGCATAAAGCATTCCAGTCCAGGAGAAAACCAGAAAGAAACCAAAGGGCAAACCAAAGGGAAACCAAGGGAACTCAAACGAAGCCAAAAGGGGAAACCAAAAGGGGAAAAGGGAAACCAAAGGGACGCCAAAACAAATCAAAGATGCGGGTATGCTGCCCTGACGTCTCTTTTGAAAGCGACATCGCCATTCAACGATCAGTACAGCGATGATGTGGACAGATCATAATGATGGCCGATGGTGCAATCATGTTGCCACCCTTCCCGTGCGCCTCCTCTTTCAAAGGAGAGGGTCGGCAGATGTGGCTTTGAAGGGGCTTCTCTTTGGGCTTTTCACAAGCGAAGGGAAAGCCGGCCCTGAGAGCACCTATGCTTGACATCCGGCTCAGTACTGCCACATGAGCCCGGCCCTACGGTCTATGACCATGGCACACGTGGCTTGATGTGGTTTGCGTGTTTGCGCCTCAAATTCTGGCTGTGCCAAAATGACTCAAAATTAAGCGATAATGTCAATAAAAAGTACAACGCCCGACGTTCTCCCTTGGATGACTATTGACACCGCCTTGGCTCTGCCATGGAACCAACTACTTACGGTAGACGGTGTCTCCCCCAAGGCAGAAGAAGCAGCAAAGCCGAAATCACTCAAGTCGAGCAAACTTCTGCGCCCCCACACCCGCAAGGTGTAATCGCTTCTGCCGGTTTTTTTCGGCGGAGCTTCCAGACGCCACAGGGGCTTGCTGGGTTTCAGGGCCGAGCATACGAGCAGGGGACCGTTCACCCACTTATCAACGGGCGAACGAGCAAGTCGGGTTTCGAAGCGTATGTGCCCTGGCCAGGAGTGTTACATTTCCTACGCCGCGGCGCCGCCCAGCTGGCGCCGCCCGGACTGAAGTTGGCGCAGAGAAGTTGACACCAATTTCGGGGGCTGGCCCCCGCAGGCGAGCTCAACTGGCTTGGACGCATTCCCACTGAAGCCTGACGATCTGACTATCGGGGCGGGGATAGGCCGGAAGTATGCATAAGGGAAGGCGCATGTACAGCCAGGATATGCTCGCTCTCTAGGGAGGCCCACAAACCCCCCCTCCCCCTTAAAAAGTGGGAGCCTTCGACCAGCCGCTCCTATCAACTGCCCTCATAGGTGTCCTTTTGGGGAGAATTGCTGGCCCTGGTGGTTGATCGAACCACCCGGTAAACCAGGGCCCTTACTTTTCAACCAAATCAACCAAGAAGGACACCTATCAACTGCCCTGGTGCGCAGTCCGAGGTCTAGATGATGGGAGCCCGCCACCTGAGCGGAAGCCCTGGAAGGAGGTGAGCTACGACGAGGAGACCAGGATCTTCCGCGGCCGGGGAACTCACGGGGGTGGAGGGGACAGGGGCGGAATCAGAATTGACACCGGGATCCATTGACAGAGGGCAGGTTTGTATCTATTTTATCTCTCCTGGGACTGGAATCTATAGCAACATGTGTATCTCATTGCACAGTTTGTTTTTTCCACCAAGTGCAGGTACCGTGAGAGGGTTTGCTGGGTTTTTCATGGGTTCGGCCTGAAGCGAGCCAAGTGCTCGGAGAACAAACAGGCTGGGCTGAGGGAACTCTGAATTTTGTTTGATTCAGGGCTCCTTAAAAGATACATTTTGCCCATTTGAAACATGGCTTTCTCCCAAAAGATAAAGGGACGCCGCCATGTACAAGGCAATGCTCAGGTGTATAATGCATCCGGATCCCTGTTCCGCACCAAGCGAGCAGCATCAGAGGCAGGGATGAATCGCGCCAGCATCAGGGCCGATCCCTGCTCGCGATCCCGGCTTCTTTTTTTTGGGATGGGGTGGTTCAAGGAGACCAACACTACGCCAGTCGTGTTGGGGGGGGGGGTGTCCTTGGATGGTTGAAGGAAAACCAAGAATTCGCCAGTCATGGTAGGGTGGCCCGATGGATTCAGGCACAGTTCTTAGCCTGTGATTGCCCTCCTACGTTTGGATGTTTGGCTCTGGTCTTTGCGACAGAGGTAACATGAGTTGGACCATTTTGGGACCAACTCAATGTCAATCGTTTGGAGTGGCTTCCAGTTTGACACCTTCCCATACTATTAGAACTCAGAAAGTGCGAAACTTAAGTGACTGTTTGGTTTTACCAAAGTGGAGTTTGGAGAGGAAGAACCGCCAGCCAACTAAGTAATAGTGACTTGATCATCAGAGCTTCCACACGAACACTGCAATTTTGAACACGGAGGCCCGTGCATGATAATTTTCACGGGGTGCGAGCTGAAAGCAGTGCCGGCGGGTATTGCGTGACCAGCTTGCAGTAGCCGCTCACCAGCCTGAATCGTAGCGTTGCCGCAATTTACCCCACCTCTTGAAGCTCAATTTATGTGAGCGATCCGGATTTGTGGGAAAAGCGGTGCACGCTTTTCCGGCTCGGCGTTCTTCGAGCCGAGCGCATGGATCGGAGAGGGCCGGCCACGGCTCAGGTGTCATCGAATGGGACCCCGCCTTCTTTCAGGACGTGCGGTGGGTCTACAGGACTGGGAGCGAAAAAGGGGATTTTTTCGGGCGAGGATCTGCGGCCATTTTGGGCGGCTCCTAGCCATTCCCTTAGCATTTTTTAGCTTTTTAGAGCTTAGGGCTTAGACAGCCCAGTCAGAATCAGGACCTGTTAGTCGCGGAGTCAAAAAATCAGAACTGCTTGCTTCATGTTGCTTGGAACAAAGTCAGGCCCGATCCTAGTGTTGAGACGGACCGGTAAAGAGCTGCAGCTGGTCGTTCTAAGGATCCATTGCGCTCAAGTTGCAACTTCCAAGGACCCGTGTCTGCAAAGAGGGCGTGCCGGGCCCTTCTCTCGATCTTGGTCATTGCGATGCCAATTGCTGACGTGTGTGTGTGCCACTGCATGGGTGCAGTGTGCCCAACAGAGCTGCTGCTGCCGGGTTGCCGGACTGACTTAAAGGAGTGGGCGGTGGCTCCTCAATCACCTTGCCCCTCGGCCGCCCGCTCCCCTGCCCGCGTGCCGCCCGCCGCAGGCTCGAGTTTGCGGAGGACTTTGCGGGCATCGTGGGAGGGGAGATCGTGTCCAGCTCCCCGGCCGCAGACCTTTTGGAACCATTTTGCGGCTCGGAGAATGGGCTCGCACCTAAAGATGTGGGTTGCAAGAAGCAAGCGCAGAGACTGGCCCTCTGTTCATGTCGAGGTCAAGAGGCAGGTCACAGGCACATGCTTGTCGCCCCAGCTTTTTTTCTTTTTTTTTTTTTTGCGCTGTTTGCCACTTAAAACACCTTACTAAATCAGACGGCAAATAGTTGGTTGTCTCCAAACACAAACAGAAACCGAAGCACAAGGTTGCTCTCGAAAGCGCTCGCGGTTGCCCAGGCTCTATTGACGGGCAATCGCAGACACAGCCCTACCTGGCTCCCTGGGTCTTTGACTGGGAGAGGCACCTCTCCTACCTGCGGCTCGTTCGACAGATTCTGAACGCAACATCGAATCTATTGTCCATGTTGTGGGTCCCCCTATTCGATACAGACGCAGATGGCTATTTGGCCGATTGCCCTTTTCTTTTCAAACTTTCCATTGCCAAAAGGCCAACCCTGGGAGGCAATTTGCGATTCCTGAAGATGATAAGTAAAGACATGGGCGTCTCTTGTTTCCCCATCCAATAGCATGTCCCAAAGAAACTGCTGGTTGAGGCGATACACGCCGCCCCCAGAGACCATCTTCGGCTCTGTCTACGTGCAGGGGCGTTTGTATGCGCCGATGCTGGAGGGTGTCGCCAGCCGCTTTGGCATGAAAGTCTGAGCTGTTGGCTTCCTAAAACGAACAATTAACAACAACGCGCCGTTGCCTTGAACCGCGCGCAACGACAGTTCCAAATCCCACTAGCGCACTGATTCAGGGGCACTTTTTCGTTTGGGCACGCAGCATTTCGTGACACTGGTGTAGAACGAGTGCGCTACCATGTGCCTGGCATGTGTGCAGTTCTTTTGCGGGTGCACTTGAATGGGTGTGCTTACCATGTGCCTGGCGTGCGTGCAGTGCTGAGCGGGTGCACTTGAACAGCTGTGCTTACCATGTGCCTGGCATGTGTGCAGTGGTGAGCGGGTGCACTCGAATGGGCGTGCTTGCCATGTGCCTGTGCGGCGCTGAGCGGGTGCACTTTGAATGGGTGCGCTGTGCAGTGCTGAGCTGAACAGGTGCGCGTACCATGTGTGCAGTGCTGACTTGATGTGGCATGATGTGCTATTTCACGAAATGCTGCGTGCACCCACGAAAATGCGTCCATGGATCAGCCTGCTTTTGGGGTTTGGATCAATGGTTCCGCGCGGTCCAATCCCAACGGTCCCAACAACAAACACACAAACAACAAAGGAAGACACGCGCAGAAGAAAAGCAAGTTGAAACAACCGTCTGGACTTCGCCTCAGAAGTCATGGGAGGCCAAATGACATTTTTTTTCGTCGAGCATACTTACTGTACCAGTTGCCCTGACATGTGCGACCCTCTCCAACCAACTCCTCTCAGCTCCTATGACACGAATCTTGACTGCAAGTTCCCCCCCCAACATACGCGAAGACGGGCGGCAACATGTACTGTTGGCGATGCTGAATAGAAATCCGAGCTTCTTTCCAATGTAAGACACAGTTTGCGTCTTACCCGCGCGAAAAGGCAAGCAGTTGTTTTGTGCTGCTTGAGCAGCAGTGCACGGTCCTGTCAAAGGCAACGCTTCACGTTGTTTGGATGTGGACGGTGTCGGTCTCTCCAGCCGCTGCTTCTTAAAATCGCATTGCAAAGTGACGGTGTGCGTCGAGGGAACGGGGGCAAATGGATGCTTTCTCTTTGATCATTCAAGAGCCCGACCTTGGGACACTCCCCGAATGGCGACAGAGCACTAAAGGGCCATTTCAATCAGGGAGCGGGCGTACCCTTGTTCCCTTGTAAATGGCAAGCCCAAGCAAAGGTGGATTAAAGCATAGTGTGCTAAGCCATACGGACAGTTTGAATAGGGGCCCAGGCCATGGTTTAAACCAACGTGGATGCACGAGGAAGATTTCTGGCTTTGTCATTGGTTTCCTTTTGGCTTCCCGTTAAACGAACCCCGAAAAGGGTACCCTCAAAAAAGGGCACGGCCATGTGCCATTTTGTGAGTGGACTCCTCTGACAACAAAACGCCCGAGGTCTGCCTCCATGCACTTTCAAATTCGCACGAAACCTGACGCTTGGGGGGTCCTGGTTTGGACCATTTTCCCATTTCCCGCACGTCAGGTTCCATATTGCTTGGTGGGAGGGTGGAAACCATTCAACAATCCCCCCCCCCCTTCCCCGCGGGTCAATGTAATGGACCCTCGGTCAGGTTCCATGTTCATTGGTGGTGGACGGAGGGGTAATGTTGACCCAAGATGAATAAACCCGTCCCATTATCAGGGTGTATTAGGGTGGTGGTCCCTCCAAAAGTGGTCTGAATCCAACCACTAAAAGGGGACACCCCCCCCGACCAAAATCCACCAGGGGTTGACCTCCATCCGTCAATGTTGGGACACTTTTCGACCAAAATCGACCAGGGGTTTATCTCAATCCGGGGTCAAAGGTTGGCCTAGGCTACCATTTCGAGGGCCCGGAGAACTGCTACATCTCCTACTCCAATGCGCCGGAGGAGTGGCGGCTGGACACCGGGGCTGCTCCGCCGGCGAGCCCCTCGAACCCAAAGCAGGGGAGCTCCTTTGACGGCGGGGGGGGGGGGGGTTTTGGGTTCTTGGCCTGGAAGATGAGGGTTTTTGGGTTTTTGGGTTTTTGGCCTGGGTTTTTGGTGTTCCGGTCGGTTTTTTGGTTTTTTTTGAGACTCAGTCAAAAGGGGGGTGCCGTGATTTTGAGGCGCTGGAGGATGGAGGCTCTGAAAAGGAGATCTTGGTGCTTGCGCGAAGAGCCCCCTTCGTTCAGCCCGCGGAGGTTTCGTTTCGTTTGGAGGGAGGGTGAGACTAGGAAAGCGCCGTCTTGTTTCTTTCCCTCTCGCTTTTGGGGATGGGCCGCTGCGATACGGCTATACAGCTTAATACGGACACCCCCTCAAGTGTCCTCCAAAGATTGTGAATCATTTGGCTCCAAGTGGACCTTGTCTTTCAGGACTTGGCTGTAATGCTGCTTCAGTCCCAAGTCAGGGGTCGGAACCGGTTTCGGTTCAGGTGGACATGCGGGCGTGTGCACATGGCATCCTGGCTTCGCGCGGGAGAGTCTTGCAGTGCGAGCTGAGGAAAGCTGTTCGAGAAGACCTGCTACGACGCGCCCACCCGCACCTTCCGCGGCAGCGTGTCGTGGCCAGAAGGCGGGGGGCGGGCCTTGCTCAGTCGAGCTTCAACGCAGGCATCTACAGGTGAGTTTTTGAGGGTGCTCATGTTGGTAAAGGGAAAACAACAGGAACGCCACCAACACTTGGGGCCCCCCTGTGTTGACAAAGGTCCATTGCATGAGATGGGAAAACCGCTAAACAGATTCGAGGAGATTTCCACCTGGGAAAGTTACCCATGGTCATTTGGGGGCCGAAGGCAAGATTTATCAACCCTCCATACGTCTCTCCACAAGAAGCATGCGTCGCCGCAGGCTTCGACGGAGCAGTGCGATGGGAGTACACCATGACCTTCGCAGAGGATCTCTCCAGCATCTGTGGGGGCAAGGCGCGGCTTATAAGCAGGTGGTGTGGAGGTGGAGCTGATACTGCAGATGGACAAAATCCTGCACCACCTAAGAGACCCTGGCAGGATGATTCCTCTGTAGATAGCCAACAAGCAATGGTTTCCCATGGGTTCAGAGTGGTGCAGGATTTTGTCCATCTACAGTATTGGGGGAGGTTTTTGGCAGATTTTTTCGACTTTGCAAGGGGACGCGGTTTGTCTCTTTTGTTGAGGGTACTCTTTTTTGGGATTGGTTTCAAGGGAACCGCAAAAGAATCACCGCCATTTTTTGGGCTTCCCAACTTTTTGACGCAAACCCATGCAACGGAAATGCGGGAATCCCCCCCCCACGGGGTTCCCTTTGAGGCAAACCAGAGGTGCCTTTTCAAGCCAGAGTTTTTTTTGAGCACCATGTTTTCCGCGTTGTTTCAAAAGGGAACCAAAGGAAACACAAACACACACACACACACACACATCTATTTTTTGCGGGAATTTCTATTTTGACACATGCCCATATTTCAGTTTCGTCCGGCCCGCTTTTCACCCGCTTAGCCACGCGATATGTGCGGCAGAAAGGAATCGCGACCGTGGCTCTGTTCATGAAGGACATTGGTATTTGATTTGGCCTGGCTGCTAAACTGGGTCCCCTAGTAGTGCCCTTCTCTCCCTTTCTTGGTTGGGAAGGTTCCCCTACTAAGATAGACTACAGAAAAAAGGGTACCCTTATTCTATCCTCTCTACACACTGGAGGACCTAGTAAATGCTTTCAAGTTGGGCGGGGTGGGAACAACCTGTTATTAAAAAAACAACCCTGCAGACTGCTAACCACAAATGATGGCCAGACCAAGAACTGCCCAAACCTGCGAAATGTCAGGGTCAGGAAATCCTTGGTCCGCCGAGGGAAAACAATACAGGCATGCCTCTTGTTTCGGGTATGCCTGTTGGTTGGTTTGTGACCTGCATTGGCACGCACCATTTGGCTGTTTTTGAATTTTAAGACAACCCCGTATTGGTCATCCCTCGTCGCCTCGGGCGGCATCTTCTCAAATCCACCTCTGAGCCACCTTGCCAGGGTGAATCTAAGATATGAGCGGCCGAGATGCAGCGTCACTTATTGCAGTAGGGATGACTTTCGAGTAATGGAAAGTGGGGAGGCTGAGGGGGGGGGGTGACCAATTTCTCACATCAGTTGGCGACATAATGAGTATTAGTATTGACCGTGAACATGCGGAATTCGGACATATCCGGAAAGAGTACGCATAGCGCGCAATCATTTCCAACTTGGGTTTGTCTGCATCAGGGGGTGGAAAACCCTTCTGCGTTTCCGGCCGTGACAACATTTGGGGTTGATCGAAAGGTCCCTTACATGGGTTGACCATTGGTTGGAAAACCACGAAGATGATATTTCAGCCACAGATTACGGCCCATAGGGCCCAAGGGATTGATCAGCCCCACAATGCGTGTGTCTCTTTTTGAAGTTGGTCTCTCGGCTGGTTTTTTCCAGGGACAAGGAATCCCTTCACCACCAGAAGGGTTCCCTCAAAAGACAAGGACTACCGAAGCCATTTTGGGGGTCCGATTCCTGGAAAAAGACACCCGAGGAAAAGACCCCCCCACCAAATCCCTTTTTCGGCAACAAAAAGACAAACCCCAGATCCCTTCGGAAGTCTAGCGAATTGTACGTGGGCCATGAGCCATTAACTGCCCACAATGGCCCACGTAAAAATCTTTAGAGGACGGGATACCTTGCCGCTCAAAGTAGGTGCCGTACGCCGAGGCCCCCCATGGCCCACGTAAAATTATTTTCAGGAAGGGTTAAGACGCCCGCGAAAAACGCGCAACCTCCCAACCAACCACCGCGCAACGTCCCACCTCCCCCACATCCCTTCTTCAGAAGGTGTGTTTGGTTTCAAATAGATGGGTTCCACTGGTTTAGACGGGGTTTATTCCATTTGCCAGGGAAACCCATCTATTCTTCCAAAAGGCCACCTATGAAGCAAACCACTTCAGGGGTCCACCATGTTGAGACATTTCGCCCTCTTTGGAGGCCACCTATGTTAATTACCTCACTCAAAGTGGGGAGGTCACAGATCCCAATCCGCCGAGAGGTGCAGCCCTACGGGCCACTGGGCTTCCCGCGCCCGCCCCACCGCTTCGGGGACCCCGCGGGACCGGACGTGGGGGTGCTGCGCCCTGGCCGAAAGGGTTCTTGAACGTGTTGCTCTTGGTGTTTGTTGGTTTTTGCACGATTTGGCGTCATTCTTTGGTTTTAAGGACTTGGGCGATTTGTTTGGTTTGAAGGATGTGGACGATTTGGTGTTCTATTTTTTTGGATTTGTTTAAGAACTTGGACAATTTGGGCTGTTACTATTATTTGTTTAACGGATGCGGACGATTTGGTGTCGTTCTTTTTTTCTTGTTTCCCCAACAGCTGAAAGCTTTGGGGTCTCAGCCCAGATGGGCTCCGGGGTGGTCCGGGGCGGCGCTGAGGTAAGGTTCCACGCAAGTTTCACCAGGGTTCCACCAGGGTTCCACCAGGGTTCCACCAGAGTTCCACCAGGTTCTGCAAGGGCTGCGGGGTGGTCCGGGGCGGCCCTGAGGTAAGGTTCCACGAGGGTTCCACCAGGGTTCCACCAGGTTCTGCAAGGGCTGCGAGGTTGGCGGTTTGAGGTAAGGTTCCACAAGCGCACCAGTTTTTTGTTTTTATTTAAATTCAGATTCCACTAACCATTCTGCGAGGTTGTACCAGGGTTCCACCATGAAGGGCTGCGGGGTGTTCCGCAGTGGTTTGAGGTAAGGTTCTATGATAGTTCCGGGGTTCCACCAGGGTTCCACAAAGTTCTGCGAGGGCTGCAGGGTTGTCCGGGGTGGTTTGCAAGGGTTTATCAGGGTTCCACCAGAACCTGCGAGGTGGTCCGGGGTGGTTTGAGGTAAGGTTGCATGAGGTTTTACCAGGGTTCCACCAGGGTTCCACCAGGGTTTCACCAGGGTTCCAAGAGGTTCTGCGAGGGCTGTGGGATGGTCCGGGGCGGGTTTGACTTCCACAACAGTTCCACAAGGCTCCACAAGGGTTGCACAAATGTTCTGCAAGGTTTCGTGGTTTGCCTTGGAGGGAAGTAATGTGTCGTGTGACCGCCGTTTGAAAAGCCATCGGGGCAGTAACTTGAGAGCTCAGAACATCGCTTTGCTCATGGGCGGAACACTGAGCAAAACCGAAATCGTTGCTCACTGTGCAGCAGAGTAAATGCTTGGTGGGCTTTGGGTTCCAAGGGTTCCATCGGAGCAGGTCTGAGAAAAACCTCCAACAAAGTTCCACGCTGAGTTTTCAGGGTTCCACGAGGACGGTTTGCCAGGTTCACCGGGCCCAGGTCGGGGCCCGATTGCACTGTCGGGGCCCGATCCCGATTGCGCCGTCGGGCCCCGATCGGGGCCCGCGTCAAGCCCCGCTCGGGCCCTGATTGCACCGTCGGGCCTCAGGGCGCGATTGCGCTGTCACTAGTTACAAAGCGGCATCCTGAGCAAAACCGGCGGCGAGGTTGGTTCCAGGGCGGGTTCCGCGATAAAGGATTTGGGTGATTTGTTGTCGCTGATTTTTTGTTTGAGGACTTAGACGATTTGGTGTCTTTTTGTACTTGACGGATTCGGACGATTTGGTGTCGTTTCGTTTCTTCAAATAATTTCCAAGGATTTGGACGATTTGGCGTCGTTCTTCTTTCACAACTTACTGGCTTTTGGGAATGGAGCGTGGGATTCCCTTGGAACACACGAAGGGCGGTTCATGTCCTTCCCTCTTCCCTGGTGACCAACAACGGGGACCAGAACGTTGTTCCAGGCGTTACGACGCCTCCAATTGATCAATTTGGATTCCGAAGGGAAACTCAGTTGAGACCTCCGTTTGAAGGTACCCGTGCGGAGCAAGAAGCCGCGCACGTTTGTCGGGAGCACGGATTTGTGGAAAGTGTAGATGTTCCTTTTGGTTTGCCTTGGAACCAACCTATAAAGGGGTACCCAGCCTCATGAGTTTGCTATGAGTTTGCACTGAGTTTGCACATGTGGTCGTGTTTCTGAAGAGTTGGCTGCGTCCAGAGGTTCTCTGAGAGTACAGTTCAACTGTTGGAACACTCTGCTTGCTTGTGTGCCAGGTTCTTTGCTCATTCCTCTTAGTCGCCTGTAAAGAGATCCAGGTGACACTGAGCGTCCGAAACTCAATGTGGTTGTTCGGCCCGACCGTCGCCTTTCTGCTTAAGCCATCCAGGGTACTTTGTGCAGAATTGACTGGCCCCTCTTCGACAATCACCGAGCTGTACATCAAAAAGGGGCGCTGTTGTTTGTTTGGATCCTTTTGTGACCCCCTCAAGGAGAACGGATTCAAGCTTTGGACTTTGGCACGCACACACACCCAGGTTCGGCTGCAATAAGCCCACAGAATTATTGGCTTGCGCCAGAATTTTGGACCCCCTCACCCCGGTGAGCTTTCCTTTCGGTTTCCCTTCAAACCAACACAAACCACCCGGCGGACCGAAATCCGCGCTGGCGTTTTGCCGTTTTTCTGGAAAACTTGCGTTTCACCTCAGCGAAATGATCATTGAGTCCCCAAAAAAACCTCCCAAAAAGAGGGCTCAGTTTTAGAGACTTTTGCGTTTCGCTGAGGCGAAACGCAACTTGTATCGCCCATTCCCAGCCTTCTCCTCCTTTTTCACATCTTTGCGATCGCAACGACAGTTTGCTGCTCCACATCTTGCGCCACTGCCAAGACTTTACATACAAGAGGAGATGCGGGCTGCATATGCTTTGCAGCTTGACCCGGTAGAGCCTATCGTGCCAGTGTGGCAGACGACCTTTTCGCGTCCGCGAAAAACATCTTTGACAAACTCTCCCTTACTGTCATTACCTGATCCGTGAAGCAAGCCAACATGATCAGCTACCTTCGGATAGCGCTTCGCGCTATCGGTGAGAAGCATCGTCCTCTTGGCGCGCGGTGTTAGTTTTAGCGGGTCTTACCGTGGTCAAGCGTGCTATAACAAAGCAGTCGGGCGGGCGCGCTTACCGTGGTCACGCGTGCGCGCAGTCTTATAACGAAGCAGTCGGGCGGGTGTGCTTGCCATGGTCAGGCGTGTGCGCTGGGAGGGTGTGCCTGCCCGCAACCCTGCATAGCACGCCCGAGCCACTGCTTTGGCACTGCGCGCACGCCTGACCATGGTAAGCGCACCCGCTCGACTCCTTCGTTATAGCACGCCTGACCATGGTAAATGCTTCGCTACAACACGGCGCGCATGCCTCACCATGGTAAGCACACCTGCCCGACTGCTTCGTTATAACACTGCGCGTGCGCCTGAACGCCGTTGAGCGTGGTTGCTGGTCCGCAAGCATAAGCCAGTGGTACCCCCAAACACACCTGATAAAACCTTGCATTACTCATACCTTTGTCTAGGGATCACCCCCTTCTGGCCCTTGAGGTACTATACCCGGAGGCCCCCGGTACTCGATGCCGGTGAGCGGCTCCGGGCCATGTGTCTTGGAACCTGAATTTTGTCCTTGATCGAACAGGATGCCAAAGGCAAACCACCATTGCTTGGGCCGGCCTCCGTGACTTCACGAATATCAAAGTCACCCCGAAGTGGTGGCCCAAGGGGACATATTCCCAGTTCCTCACTTTCCAACCAATGACACCAGTGAGTCCGATCTTGTGCAGCAAAGGGCAATCATGTGTGTAGCATCCGAAAGAAACCCGGTTGTTAGAACCATGCTAAGTTAGGACCAATTGAGGAGGGTCGCCCAAGTGATTAGCGCATTATGACAAAGTGCTTTCTGCCGGTTTCATGTGTTGATGCTGCGCAGGTTGCCTCGAACGGCACACGCTAACAGCAACACGTTCGAATGAATCCAATCTTTGCAGGTTGGCAAGAACCTGAATTTGCGTGTTTGGTGGTTTCTATCCTTGTGGGCCAACTCCTTTTAGCGTGATTTTCAACGGGGAGAACCAGGGTTTGTCTTCCATTGGAGGACCCCGGAAATGGGCGGTTTCTCCTTAGCTTCCCATTCAGCCCCCAAAATGCTGGTTTGCCTTTTCTTTCCCTGTAAATCCTGCAGCAGGTACCCTTAAACAAACAATCACGTATATATATATATATGTATATGTATGTATATGTGGTCACACCCCCCATGAACTACATTTGAACATTTCACCCTTCAACAACACTGGCATGTACAGTGTTTTATGTATATATATATATATGCAGGATTTCGTCCACAGTATGTACACACACACACCCACACGCGTGTAGAGGAGCCCTGTTGCAGGCCCCGGACACGTTTCCAGCAGCCCAGGTTTCTGGCGGAGGCGGTTCGCAGTGAGGACTCCGATGCGAACACGGCCCCCGCCGAGAGGTCCGGTCCTGGGCACATCCTGGGCCCTGGGTTTGGCAAGCGCTTTTGTATTGGCATGGGGGTCCTTTTAAACCGATTCAAGTCATGATCAAGAACGATGTGTGCGCGTGTAATCTTCTAGGCCCTGATATTTTGAAAGGGGTTTTGACTCTTTCAGGAAGGGGCGTGCTAAAAGTGGGTTTGAATGATCTGGAAGGGAAGCACATGTAAACCAACATTTCTGTGAACTCCCGCATTTTGATGGAAACCGCACGGGAATGCATCCCCAAGATTGCAACCATGGTTTCGCTACCTAACCGTGGTATTGTGATTTTCGGCTGTTACAATGGAGGTTCTTTGTCTTGACCTGCCCCCATTTTCCTTTGGGCTCTCGCTCGGTATTTTGCCTCGGACCTTGAGGGGCGTGCGAGTTGTGGGGCAGACCAGCCAACTCAACCTGGCACATCAGCTTTCTTTGTAGCTCTAGGTTCTTTCTCCTTCCCGCTTCGATGCTCCCGAGGTCACTATTGGGTTAGGGGGATGGTTTACACGGGTCATTCCATTTGTCATTTCCTGAGAACCAGCAAGCGGGTTGCCTTGACAGTTGCCCTCTCGGGGATAAGTTGATGAGCCCTCCGGTGAGCCTCCAGTCGCAACGGGGCTATAGAGGCCCAGGTGAACAGAGTGCAAAAGCAAGGCGGCCAAATAACATCTCAGGGGAGTATCAGGGGTAGAACCTCCAATGGCTGGATATTCAAGTTGTTGCGGTATCGACTTGGCAGACCTTCTTTTTTTTCAGCTTGTTGGCTCACTGTGGTGTTATGACATGCCTTTCAGGTCGCAGGCCTTTGAATGAGGTGGCCCTAGTTGGTGCAGCCCGTGCCCTCAGGGAGCCTGAGCCGGCAAGATCACATGCTGCCTGCAACACGCAGTAGCTGACTGCTTGCTTCTCACTCAACACTGCTTCAAAGCATTGAGGGCCTGGAGAAGAGATCAGCGTGAAAGTCAGAACGATTGTGAAGTTCTAGCAAAGAAACATCTTGAAGAGCCCCTTCTCCCACCTGACTAGAGGTCCTGAAGTTGATTGGGGAGCATTCAGTGTGTGTTGCCGCCGAGTGACGATCAGTCACGTAGCCCTGCATTCAGGTTCCGCTGATTCAAGTGGCCGGTCATGAACCATAACTTTCACCGTTTCCGGGGTCTCCTCCAAAACTATTTCGTATTCGAAGGAAGACAACATATGGAACAGAAGGAATATATTTCTGTGGAACCCATTGTCGGCCACGGTTTGGGTGTGTGTGTGTGTGTTTTGTTTGAGGGTAATTATCCTTGTCACTTTGCTTTAAGCGATGGAACCCAGCAGGAAGAACACATGTTGTTTGGTTCCCCGACTTTGACTCATACCCATTTGGGTGGCTTGCCGCAGGATCCCCGATAGCTGACTAGCCCAAGGTAAGGGACCCCAGGGGTTTTAGTCTACCTTGGGGTACTCTAAACAACAGCGCTTATGAGAGGCTGACAAAATGTTTGGTAGTTCATTGTTTCATGGGGCTCACCCCGATCTTCCACAAAAAGCAGTGGCACACTCAATCTTCCCATGTCCTCTTGGGGGACCAACAAATGTTGTTTGGGGCTCATTCTATGCGGAGTCCTTCTGTTGGAAATGAAGCCACTTGGATTCAGCGGGAGCTTGAGTTTTCTGACCCGGCCGGCGCCCCCCCCCCCCAACGCGGGCGGCCAGCCATTTTCGAGACTTAGAGCTCTGCGCAGAGGGGTCCCTTGAGAGGAGCGAATTGAATCGCAGAAGGCAAGGGATCAGGTGGGACATGGTGGGACCTTCGGGGGTTTTCTTGTAGATTCCCACGGCTCTGGGGTCAAAGCCAGCAGACCCCTTGAATGCTGGGCTTCACTCTGCGTCGTTTCAATACGAGTCAAACGGGCAGGAGCATAGTACGATCCTTCCGCTTCTCTAGACCGGCTCCGTCTCACCTGTGCTCGCCGATGTTGGGCGACTACCTGACACGCGCACAGAGCGCGTGGCGCAGCGTGGGGCGTTTGTCCGGCACGGGTGTATGCCCGAGCGGCCCGAGCTCAGTTAAACATTTATCGGGCATCGATCTGGGAAACACTTGGTGTTTGCGTTTGGCCGTGCCCTGAAGGCTGACAGTGTGCAAGGTGTGCCGGCTCTTTGTCGAGTGACAATTTAGATTTGTTTGCTTTGCGTTTCTAAACCAAGATCACTGGTGGGGCAAGGTAAGCACAGAGGGGTGCAGGGCCGATCGTGATATGAAATGAAGGAGGTGTGCCAAGACAGGGAGCAGCAGGATGTCTGTAGGTTTGAGCTCCTTCCCCCTGTTGAAGACACCCAGCCGTCCCCTTGAATGCCTCGCATTCCGTTCGAACACAGGTGTTCTTTTTGGGTGGGCCTATTTTGTTTAGGCAAGTCCCCGGCTCACCTCGGAGGGTGCTCAGCTTTTCTGCAACGCCAGTTTGAGATGAACAACTGCCTGCTGATGCTGCTGCACAGCAGCGCGGACCACATGCCGGGGGTTAGCAAGCAGGCGCAAGTCTTTCGGGTTGCTTGTCAGCCGCAAAGAATTCACACGGCACGGTGTGTGCTTGTGTTGCTTTTTTCGGAAGGGAGGCTGGGGAGCATCGGGATTCGAGCGCGTCGGAGCCAAACCAGTCACCAAGCCCGTCCAGGTCAAGATCTTTGTGGGAGTGTCGTTTTTGGATGCAACGAGCAGCCCAGGAAAGCAACTCGCCCGCCTCTGTTTGGCTTGGTCCACTTTTAGCAACACATCCATTATCAGACCCTCCATCCTCCTTTGCCCGTTCCTGGCTGCCAGCGTGTCATCATGAACACCGACAAGATCAAGGAGGCTATGCGGGATGCTCCCACTGGACTTGTCCCAGGCTCCTTGCCCGTCAAGAAGTGCGGGAGTCGATGATTTGGCGATGAATGGAACCGCCTGAGTCCTCTTTGGTGGACAGAACAACCATCCCCATGTGAATGATGTCCGCCAAAGGTCCGACTCAGGGCCGCTAACGTTGTATTTCCGTGTGCTTTGGGCAAGTGAACAATGCTGGGTGACCTGTCACTAGGGGCTCGAAATTGGCTTGCACTGCTTCTTAGGGCCTATTGAAGGAAGACTGAAGAAATCAAACCCACTTCTTGTTTTGAGACTCGAAGAAAAATTCACAGCATTCCAGTAGTAAACTTAAAACTAGCTATGTCCCTTCCGACCCCAACTCCAGTCGTTTTGGGGCACCTTCTAAGAAAGATTCCAGAATCCATTTGACACTAATTTCAATCCAATGTTGAACCAATACTCAACCAACACACTTCCCAAAATGACGCGATTTTGCTGTTTGAAATTCCTTACTTGGAACTTGCCACTTCGAACGATTCTTGAGCCTGCAAAGGGGTTGGTCCCTTGAACTCGTTCCCCGAGACAATTTGCCCAACAACTCCTCATGGATCTCCACGGGGAATACGGTCCAACCAGGTTTCCTTTTGGATCAACCTCTGGATCCAGGATCCTTATATCTTCATACATATGGATGGCGTACATTCATACATATGGATGAGGGATCGTTTTTTTTTTTTTTTAAGACAGATCAGACAGATTTCATCAGATAGATAAGACAGACAGACAGACAGACAGACACGGAGGCAGGCAGACAGACAGGCAGGCAGGCAGGCAGTCAGTCAGATAGATCTATCTACATAATTAGACATATGCATTTACATATACGTACACATACATATACTTATACATAAACGGGCATACACACATTCATATATTACTGACCGTGTGTGCGCCACGTAGTTGCGAGCTTTTTCCATGCGAATAACACAAGCCACACCCTGGAGTCTGCGATGCTGGCTTTCCGCAGAAATGATGGTTTGCCTGTGCATTGCGTAGATGTATACGCCCTCACCGAAGTTGGCACTGCAAGAGTAGTGATTGCGAGTCATGATTTCGCGCCATTGACGCGGCGCAACAGCTCGATGGAGAGGCTGACGCAAAGCTCCCACTGGGAATTAGACGAGCATACACAATCATGATTCGACAGGGGCGAAGCGCACAATCAGAAGCTTCGAATTGAGAAGCGGCTAGCACATACACATTTATATATAATCTAGATTCATGTAATTACACACTCGCATACACCGTTTCACGTACCCCACATATATATATATATATACACATCATATACAAGCATATATATATATATGTGATCATATTGTGCCCCGGTTTCTGAAGAGTTTCCGCCGCCAGGGTGTGTGGAATTCCCTCCCCTCGCTATCAATCCATCGGGGGCCCAGCCTTGGCTCGCTTGGACCCAAGGTTGCTTGCCGGAGGGCAAGGAGCGTGGGGGGTGGCGGATGCTTCCCAATTGAGCACCCAGACTCCCCTCCCCCCCCAACTGGCCATTTGAGCAGGTTCTGCTACTTGGTTTAGTTGGGGTTAGTATTGGTAAAGCCTACAAAAAAGGTCAGTACCACCAAATGCCAATGGCTTCGGGAATTGGTCGATTCTCGGTCTCCAAGAGGTTTTCCACCCGGGACCCGGGGGAAACGTGGGCATATATCCCAGTGAATGTACAGTTGTGTCCCATTAGACCTTGGGGGGCTAGTGGTTTGGCAGTGGAAGCCATCTTGCATGGGTCAGTGGCACCCTTTGAATCTCTTTTGGTCTGGTTCCACGGTAAAGCTTGTCGTTTCGGCGGGGTTTGGTTCAGTAAGACTTGTTGTTTTGGCGGTTCCTCGGTGGATTCCACCCCTTCCACCACCAGCTTGTTCTGACCGGGTTGCCCGCCCACCAGGCTTTTGGGAGTTTCAGCTCTACCCCTACAGGTTGGTCGCTTTGAAAGGGGGGCTGCTTGAGCAATAGGTTTAACTCGCTGTGACATGGGGCCGACTTTGGGCACGCTGAAAGCCGTGCAAAAGTGCATCCGTGAATCAAGACTTGGGACGGGAGGCCATTTTGTTTGGAAGATCCCGAAACGGGGCCAGTGGAAAATATAAGAACCCCTGTGTGGATTGTGAGTCAAGGTTGACTTACCGCAAGAGGAGGCGTGGTGGTTTCAATGGACAGCCCAATCAATCAACCGGCAGGCTGACAGCCAAGCATTTCACGTCTGATTTCGTTCTCTCTCTCTCTCTATCTTGTGGGGGTGCCTTTTCTCGAGGGCACCCTTTTGAAGGTTGTGTCAAAGGGCACCAAAGGGAAGCCACTTCTTTTGAGGGTTGCCTCAAAAAGTGACAGGCCCCTTGAATGTTGGCATGTTTTGCATGTTTTATATTCATGGGTCTTAAGGGTGTGTCGCATGGGTTCCCACGGGCGAGCTCTCGATCTGCAGGAGGAGGAGGATCGCATCGAGGACTGACTGATTTGGCGCAAGGGCAGAAACTTTCCCATCAGGCATGGGATTGTTGGTGGTCATCCAGGTTGGGATTGGGACCATTCTTTCTGCAAGGGTGTGGTTGAGCACTTGGATTTTCTGGCCGCATGAGTCGCTTGTTGCACCCCAACAGCTTTCCCGCTCTCCCTCTCCCTCCCTCCCTCCCTCCCTCCCCTCTCCCTCCCTCCCTCCCTCCCTCCCTCCCTCCCTCCCTCCCTCCCTCCTCTCTCTCTCTCTCTCTCTCTCTCTCTCTCTCTCTCTCTCCCTCCCTCCTAAACCAACCCTAAAACCAACCTTGAACTAACTCCAGCCAGCCCCACCCATCCTTCCACAGGGAGGATCGGGGGGAGGGGGGGAGGGGTCAGGGGGCTGGACTATGTATATATATATATATATATATATGTGATTAGCCATGGTTCATATCATCATCAGGGACGTCGCGTTAGTGACCGACCTGTGGTGTTTTGGCTCAAGTTACGGGTTCCGTCGCGCCTCGAATGGGCGTCGCCGAACCCCTGCGTCG